GCAATCATGATTTCTTGATCCTCTGTGAACAAACCCACAAAAAGATCGTACAGTGTACCACTGGGCAAACTAGAATCACTCAACTTCATGGAAAGATGATTGGCCAAAGCACTTTCCATGGAATCATGCGTCAAGATTGAACAGAAATAATGGTAATAGAATATGGGTTCTTGATCAATATCTCTTCTTGCCTCAGCTTTCATCTGCTGCCATAAATAATCTTCTTGTACATCTTCTCCACCACCAATTTCATCAAAAACAGGAAGGATGTAGAGAGTATTTGACTTTATTTCTGAAATGGGCACGCAAGATACAAGATCAGAAAACATGGGTCTGCTATGTCTTACATAATTATTAAACGCATCATCTTCCCCTTGGGTACTGTATGGATATGTTTGAATCTCTGTTCTTGAGACTCTACACAAATAGCCATACGAACCAACTGAGAAGAAAGAGTTTTTATTTTTTTTAAAATTGTTTTAATTAAGGCTCATTTGAACTTTTGGAAAATTTACGGCTATATCTGCAATTAATTCTTTATTGCAAAACAGACAAATAATCTATAGATAAAAGCAATTAGTTTCTATCCTTAACCTCATAATTAATATAGCCCTACGTTTAATTGCTTCATTCTCACAAAAAAGTGTAAGAGACACACCTTCAGGATTTACTGGAATATGATCGTGAATAGGGGACCATGGACCTGGAATCTGCAGAGAAGCTTCTCTCTATCTAATGTGGCTCCACCCAGCCTCCCCCAAGCCCCAGTCGTCGTAAATTTTACCCATTTACACAAAGAGAGTATGAAGAGATCTAAGTGCAAAATTATCAATAAACTAATTCATCCAAATAAGAAGAATTTGTTTACAAATTTTGCGTAAGTTATTGTTGTCCTCAATATGTATTTTAAAGGGAATGAAAGCTAAGTTCTTAGCATGCAGACATGAAGCCTGAAGGGCCCAAAGGAAGCCAAGGAGAAAACGTAGGGAAATTGCCGGCTACATTCTTATTTCACTTAAAAATGATAACATTCAGACTAATTTACTTAAAATAATGTTTATCGACTTTTCAGCTTACACGCTCATTAAGCCCATGTCCAGTATAAATTAAAATCAGATTTTTAGTTGATTTTGATAAAAGTTAAGAAAATATATGATTGAAAAGTTGTGGACTTCATGAAATATGTAGTTAAAATTAATTATTAACTTTGACGTGAGATTAAAATCAGATTTTAATAAAAATCAAACGTGGGCTAAGACTCTTGGTGGACTTTGATAAAGGACAATTATTTTTAATGGATATTAAGATAAACAACCCCACTACATGTACAACACTCTAAGTGTCGTACAAATAGATTTTTTCTAAGATAAAATAAATGTATTTTACTTCCAAGTGCTTTGCTAAATCCGTGGCCTCACCTCCAAAGGATGGAGAGGGTATACAACATCGAAGGGATGGGGTAAACCTGCATCCTGTGTTACCCAAGAGTTGTCGAATTGCTCGATGCTTGAATCAAAAAAGGTTTTTATCGAT